ACCAATTGTTATTTTTCACAGTTTCATATCGCTTACCAGGAGTTAATCGTTTGAATTTGTCACACCGACCTACGTTATGTCCTCTAGTATGACAAAATTGACAAGACTCAGTTTAAGGTCGAAACATTTCTGAAGAATTGTCCCTGGCCATAAATGATTTAGGCGGTTTAGATTTTATTTCCCACTGTCTAGTATGAGTAGTATTCTCTATCGGTTTTCTGTTTGCCAATATCTTTGACTGTTCTTTGACAAATGTAATGAGATCATCATACTTTGGAACACCAGATCCCCTTTTCAACATTTCAAAAGATTTACTAGTCTCCATATCGAGTTTTGATAGAGACAAATAAACAAACATGAAATCAGACAATTCATGTAATCCTAATTGTTCCAAAGCTCTAACCGCGGAATCTACCTTTTCCAAAAATAAATTCAAATTGCTAGACGATTCACTTGTCAATCGCTTGAAGTCCATAATCTGATTTAAATAACTATTCGCTAGAGCACGTTGATCCTGATATTCATTTATAAGAGACTGCCAAATAATTGGATAATTATGTCCGGTGGGTGCTATTCCCGAACACACCCTCAAAGCCGAGCCCTTAAGGCGACCTACCAAATAATACATTCTATCAACATCTGTTAAAGACGAATTATCATGTATTAAATTCTTGAAAACGGAATAAAATGTTTCCCATTCTCTAATGTCTCCAGAAAAATCCGGCAATTCAATTTTAGGTAATCGTGGTGAACCTTGGGATGAGTGCGTGCTATTTGTGCTGGTAGAAATCTTCATCAACCTCTAAACTTTTCTCATTAACCTCATCTACTGTTTGTAATAATTGACTACGCGTTGAATCTAACGACCTCACCATTATTTCAAATTTTTTCCTCACTACTGGATCATTCACTTTTTTTGACAAATCATATAAACTCTGCAAATTGGTAAACAATGATTCCTTTTTTGCGGTCAAAACCTTGACCTTCCGCTCCGCAACCGTCATGTCATTTTTATAACAACAAATTAGTAAATCCCAGACAAAAAAGTATCTAAAGAAATCGAAATGGTTAAGCAAAGCTCAAAATCAATCTGCACCTCGTGCCAAATTCAACAAATAATTTCAGCTCAAACTCTAGTTCGTGAATTATCACGAACAAAGCAATGAATTATCTAAAACCTATTAAAAAATATTCCAAGTCAAACCCGAATTGAAAAGGAACCGAGATAAGAGAAACCAGCAAAAAATCCGAACTTTTTGCGCGTCGCCCGCTAATACCCTAAAATGGTATTTTAACGCCGCCAATTACTTTATTCAACCGAATTAACAACTCAATCGATTAGAATTCCCGATAATTTCCTTATCCGGCTCGAAGGACCAAAAAAATATGTTGCAAATATTACCTGATTAGGTTAAAAAATTCACAACTCACCCCAAAAACTGTCGCTAGTTCCTTCCTTCCACCCAATACGTTGACAATTAGGGAAAATAGGAAGGTAAATTAGGAAAATGAAGGAAATATGAATTCCAATCGAAAGATCTTCCGAAAATTGTTCCCCAGCAAACAAATAACTAAATTCAAATGTATCACGAACCGATTGATTAACCATGAGTTCCGTCTCTCATAAACGCAAACAACATACTACTTTTTCGTACCAATATGATTCGTTTTCTTTTTAAAAAATGCGCGGTTGCCAAACTATATAATTTGTACCTGTATTTACAAACTTCGAACGATACGGAACAAAGAGTCTGTGTTGGTGTAGAGAAGAGAAGAACGTGATCCGTAATGTTTTTTAATAACATCACAGAAAAAGTCGTAAATGACAGTTTTCGACATATCCAATATACTGAACCCCAGATACAATGGTTTGTTGTAACAAACCTTAACTTCACCCATATGTATGACTACAAAGTCTTCTGCAAATATGGATAATGTTTTGAAATTAGGGCGAGCAATCAAAGCGTTGGCCCCCATTCCTCCCCGTCTAGATTTCCAATGTATAACAATTCGAATGTCTCTCCTGTTGTAAACATTTTCCAAAGTTTTCCCATAAATAGAGTTCACATTTAATTTGAAGTAATTCTTCTCAAACTTATTGGTGGCTTCATTTCTCAGATTAGTATTTAAATCGATATATTTTTTCAACCATTGTGATTGATCCATTCTGAGAACTCTGTGGGTTCTAATTAGTAATAAACCATCACGAAGCGCCTGTTTCAAATTTTTATAATGAAAGATATATTCACCGAGTATATGGACTTGAGTGGTTTACTTAACGATCATATCAATGATAGTTTACTTCTTGTACAAGAAAAGTGTACTTCGTTGTTGCACCAATAAGAAGCCAAGTCAAGAAGAGAACCAATTACAAGTAGTAAATGAAGTAACCGACCCATCCACCGTTCAACTACCCCGTTCAACTGCGCATGATAGTTGAATCTTCGGGGGAAGGAATTATCTCACCCCCTAGGACAATCCCGCTGATCTAGCAGTACCACCACCCTGTTCCAGATGCTGACAAGACAGTTCTCACAGGAGCGTACATCTTCGAAGCTTCGCATCCAGAATCAGTCAGACTTCATTCCTCAAAACAACAACACATATAATTTCATATATTTTGTATTTCTATTTTCAAGTGTTGTAACAATAAAAATAATTTTTAAAAAGCAAGTTCAGTGCCGTCAATAGTTAATTTACGGCAGAATTTTGACACTATGACGTAATTCGCTACATGAAAAGGTTTGATCGAGTTGAGCCAATGTTCAGTCAGTAAAAGTAAATGCGGGTATTTCAAACAGTCCAACAAAACATCCAGTTCTTCACTTTTGTTACGTATTGATTGAATATTCAATAACATTAATGAGATTGTCTGATCTTCGACTTTTTCATATGATTCTCAAGAATATGTGTATTTAACGCATTCTCAGGCCCTGTCACATTTCCTGACTCAATCGGGGATATAAAAAATGTATATGTGTAATTTCTTCACCAGCTTCGCTCAATTCCTGAGCAAGTCAGGATTTATTGGGATGTGGGTCTTCTGGATAGAGTGTCAAGTTACCTTCAGGCCAGGTTATCAGTTTTGATTTTCCGGTATTTTGTTCAAGAAATCTCACTAGCAATTTGCAGACATTCCATTTTCTTGATCTGTTATTGTTTTTATTATCTTGCTGGTAGTTTCTTCTCTGTAACACATTATTAAATTCTACTACTGTAGATGAGAGACCTGCACGAAAAGCTTCTTTTAGTATAGACACATTTTTTTGTCATTTTTATATTCAATGTCGAATCTGTAAGGTTCTATGACGACTAGAATGTTAGTATTATTCATTCTCGATGAGAGCTCTGTTGCTGAACATTTATGGTTTCTGTCAGGCCAGATAATAACGGTATCAATTTTTGTAAAGTCTTTGCTATGATTTACTGCTGTTTTAATAAGTTCATATCGACTAAAATTTGGCTTTAACATTGGTTCCACCATGCAGGTATTGGTCAGTTGTCTCCTCAGGAAGCTTGCCATATTTCGTCCATTACTCCCAGCAACAAAATTAATTTTTTTATTGTTTCTTTTTCGTTGTTACCCGATATATTAGCAGTATGATCACTAATAAATAGATTTTTCTGCTTCGTCCTTATATTCTCATTTCCATTTCCATCCTGTGTAGTGTCCACAGAAAATGTTAAGCATCTTATGATTTTTCCTCTTCTTCACAGGTTTTCGAAAAGATCCTGGTTTCATATCGGGGTTAGTAGCTGTAAAATATTTTTTAAATTTTCCTTGAAAATGTTCGAACTAAATGAGTGTTTGTGAACCAAGTGTTTCATATGGACACCAAATTTTATAATCATATTGTATGGGTCCCCTTTCGTTTCCATATGAGTTAGTCATCTATGTTAGGAAGTTGAGAACTGTCAGATCGAAAAATAATTGAAATCATTCCACAGGGTCTTCTGGAATCTGAGGCGTTTGCCTAGGGCTGACAAATTGGGGAAAATTACGGAAAGTTACAGGTGAGGTCCACTGAGTTTTTCCAATCTCTAGTGTACGTTTTTGGTAATCTCTTCTTCACTTTTGATGATAAAATATTATTTTCGCTTTCTTCACTTTCCTGGAAATCATAGGTGCAGCCCTTCTCGAAGGACTTTCCCCTACCTCATCACTTCGGGTATCGATATGCTTGTTTTGAGTCACTATTTACAATGTTAGACCCAGTCACTACAGGATGATACTTATTTACGGACTCTCTAAGATCGAATCTGTTTCTTATTATTATATTACCATGTTTTTCAAAAACCTTATACGACTTTGGTTTTTAAGTTAATTGTACTATCATTCCTGGTTTCTATTCTTTATTTATATGGTTGAATACAGTTACATTTTGACCAGGTTTCAAGGGTTGAAGATCTCTGGCAGTCTTATTATAATATTTTTCATTATATTGTTGTCTTAAACAAAGTCTATCATTGACGTTGTTATATAACTATGGTTTTAACAAGTCAGCTGAAGTTGGTAAGTTAGTTTTACACATTCGACTCATTGATAATTGTGCAGAGGAATAACCTATGTACTTAAGAGGGGTATTCTGATGTTGCGATAATGCCTCAAATATATATTTGCCTTCTTCAAACGATTTTTTAAGCATTTTTTCATAATATTTACAGATTTCTTCGCTAATCTGTTCGATCATGGATAATTTGGGCTTCGAAAAATTCCACAAAATTCCACTGCATTCCAAATTCTTTGAAAATTAAGATATTGAAGGGTACATTATCACACACAACTTTATCTGGGTAGTCAAACATAGAAAAAATATTTTTCATTTTCTTATCACCTAAGGCAGGGGTCGGCAACCTTTTGAGACGGAAGAGCCAAAAGTTACAAATTACAAAATTTCCCAGTTTTCAAAGAGCCACTAACATTTTTGTTTCAATATTATGGTATTTGATTAGGATTAGGTAGATAAATTTGATTTTTTATTTAAAATAAATAGCTTTAAGAAATGAAGTAATTTTCCACTCTCCATGTCTTCGATGAAAAGAAGTAATTTATTTTCAAAGCAAACCACTTCTTCAAGCAAGGCATAGGCTGGGTTTCCCTTTCCTTGCAGTTTGACATTTAGCTCGTTTAGTTTCATTGTGATATCCACCATGAAGTAGAATTTTTGCAGCCATTTGTCTTCTTTCAATTCGGGATGGACAATGCCTTTTTCATCGAAGAAAATTTTTATTTCAGTCAAGCAAGAAGCAAAACGTTTCAATACGTTACCCTTGGAAAGCCATCGCACTTTATTGTGCAGAAGTAGATCAGAATACTGGCTTTCTATTTCTTCAAGAAATTCCTGAAACTGGCGATGGTAGAGTGCTTTTGCCAAAATGCTGTTAACGATCTTAATAACCAAGTTCATGACCTCAACCATTTCAGTCGGGAATGTTTGGGCACAAAGCGCCTCTTGATGAATTATGCAGTGAAACGTTAAAATTTCGTGGTTTATTTTTTGCCGAAGAATCGTTGTTACCCCTCTATGTATTCCTGTCATACTTCTGGCTCCGTCAGTTGCTATGGAAACGATTTTATTTATATCGATTTCATAGTCTTCCAGGCATTTTTGCACAGCATTTGCTATATCTTCTCCACGAGTTTGCCCTGAGAGCGGCAGCAATCCTAGCAGTTCTTCTTTTGGACCTTGGGACGACATATACCTGACGAAAAGGGTAACTTGTGCCGTGTCTTTTATGTCGCAAGACTCATCAATAGCAATTGATAAAGCAGAAGCCAGTTGAATGTCTTCCACTTGCATGTGTGTTATATTTGAAGACATTTTTGAAGTTCTATCTTGTACTGTTTTAGCAGATAATGGCATATCTTTAATTTTCTTCATGATTTCGGTTTTGTTTTTGAAATCACGAAACAGTTCTTCAGCTCCACGTATGAAACAATCTTTGACGTACTCACCATCTGTGAATGGTTTCCCTCTTTTTGCAATTTGTAGTGATATTGCGAAGCTTGCCAGGTTTACATTATTTGAAGATTGCGCCCAGTTACTTAGCATAGAACTCGACTGCTGTTTTTGTTTTTGAAGCTCTTTAACAGCTTTTTTTCGTGTGTCACCGGATGGATATTTGGCAGCGAATTGGGTATGTTTTGTAGTGAAGTGTCTCTCCAAATTTGACTTCTTACTGTGTGCAAGTTTTTCTTGGCAAATCAGACAAGTCGGAAGGCCATCTGTGTTGCATATGAACGCAAACTGCTCTGTCCAATCCTGATTAAATGCTCTATTTTCTTCTTCAGTTCGTCTCTTCTTTTTATCAGATGCCATTCTGATGGCGGAGCTGAAATAAAGATTTTAAAATTTTTTCAGCTATCTAAAACGGGGTTAATAAACCTTTAATTAAATAGTTAATTTCGTTAATAAGTTTGCCCTGAGAGCGGCAGCAATCCTAGCAGTTCTTCTTTTGGACCTTGGGACGACATATACCTGACGAAAAGGGTAACTTGTGCCGTGTCTTTTATGTCGCAAGACTCATCAATAGCAATTGATAAAGCAGAAACCAGTTGAATGTCTTCCACTTGCATGTGTGTTATATTTGAAGACATTTTTGAAGTTCTATCTTGTACTGTTTTAGCAGATAATGGCATATCTTTAATTTTCTTCATGATTTCGGTTTTGTTTTTGAAATCACGAAACAGTTCTTCAGCTCCACGTATGAAACAATCTTTGACGTACTCACCATCTGTGAATGGTTTCCCTCTTTTTGCAATTTGTAGTTATATTGCGAAGCTTGCCAGGTTTACATTATTCAAAGATTGCGCCCAGTTACTTAGCATAGAACTCGACTGCTGTTTTTGTTTTTGAAGCTCTTTAACAGCTTTTTTTCGTGTGTCACCGGATGGTTATTTGGCAGCGAATTGGGTATGTTTTGTAGTGAAGTGTCTCTCCAAATTTGACTTCTTATTGTGTGCAAGTTTTTCTTGGCAAATCAGACAAGTCGGAAGGCCATCTGTGTTGCATATGAACGCAAACTGCTCTGTCCAATCCTGATTAAATGCTCTATTTTCTTCTTCAGTTCGTCTCTTCTTTTTATCAGATGCCATTCTGATGGCGGAGCTGAAATAAAGATTTTAAAATTTTTTCAGCTATCTAAAATGGGGTTAATAAACCTTTAATTAAATAGTTAATTTCGTTAATTGCTAATGTGTAAAGAAGTGAACTTTGTTAAACGTTAAAGCGTATGCACAAGTAGTGTACCTCCAGACAAATTCATTTTTTTAAATTAACCATAGAAGTATATTTGCTTCCTCGCTACCGAAAGCTCAACACATATAAATCATATTCATATACAGTAAAGCGTCTTTATAACGCTTCTCTTGGCGAGTAGAGAACACGCGTTTTAACCGTGAAAGTGTTATAAACGGGAAATTTTATATTTGACAATATACATCATCGATAAACACGTTGCATAGTGCACAAATTGTGAATCTGATATTCACAGAAATCATTCTCAAGCCACAGAACAAAAATCACGGTGATTTGTGTGTTAAAAATGAATGGTTTGAAACAGATAAAATTATTTTGTTTGAACAAAAGTAATTAACATCATTTTACAAAATGGACAATTTATAAAAGATTTAAAAAATAAATCCTTTTCAATGATTGGCGCAAAATCATTTTAATTTAAAATCATGCTATTGTAATCGTAGATGATTTTCATTTTTTCTTTAACTGTATGATTTTCGCGTTGTTGAAGCCACCGCGAAAACAGGTTCAAAATTTAAAACTCTCGAACGGTTTTCACGTTGAAAAATGTTTTACGTGTGTTAACTCTTAAGAAACAACAACAGGAAACGAAACCAATACATAAGAAAATTAAGTGATGGAAACTAGAGCAAAAAAAAACCGGAAAGCTTTCCCCGTTTAATGGGTTCTGAGAAAAAAAGGACCTTTGAAAATCACGTTACATCCATTGAATTAGTTAAGTTGTCGAACATTGAAAGGAATTTGTAAAGAAAAACAAACTTGAAGAACTGCATAATTATTACAGTATAAAATTGGAAATAAAATTAATAAGAGAATGTTTAGCGATGAATTACAATATATTGTTGCTAAACCAAGTTCCATTTTAGCAAGCAAAGTGTAATAACGAAAAAATTGTCAATGAAATTCAATAGAAATGATTCTGGGATAAAGAAAAACAGCACTATATCCGGGAAAGCGTTATAAACGGGGGGGGGTTATATAGAAGTTTTACTGTATAATACGTATCATACCAACATGAAACAAACAGAACACAATAGTACTATAACTATGAAAATATTTACCTATTGATTCTGAGAGAGTTCTGACTCTGACAAAGAGCGTTGAAGTACACAGTTTCTTTTCTCTTTTAACAAACCGCAGCGCCTTACCGTTTCACTCTCTTATCTAATATTCAAGTTGTATTTAAACAGCGCACCAATCAAAGTTAAAAAATCTTTCATTTAAATATGTCTCTTTCTTGTCTCACATAAAGAGAAGAAGATAATTCTTGAAATGGTTTCTTGTCTCACATAGTTCTTCTCACCCCCACTTATTCACACTGTCTTGTTCTCTGTTGAGTGTTTTTAACCTACTAAACAAACAGAACAGTGTTGCCAAAGCGGGCAATCAACCGTCCGTAAACTCTCTACCCCACTTATTCTCACTGTTCTCTGGTGACTGTTTTTATCCTATTTAAAACTTTACATCAAAAGAGCCGCATGTGGCTCGCGAGCCGCAGGTTGCCGACCCCTGACCTAAGAAGTTGATTTATTTTTCATAGACATAGGCTCTAACCAATTTGAATAGGCATCCATGATAACAAGGTAAGACTTATTTCCCTTAGAGAAAATATCTGTTCCAATACGTTTCCAAGGACTTCCAGGAATGGGATGAGATTTTAATTTTTCTTTGCTTTTTTTTCGACCATGTTTTTCGCAAATTCTGCATCTTTCAATATAATTTTCATTTTCTTGACTCACAAGAAGCCAAAATTTGCCTAGCACGAGCTTTCACTTTTTTCCCAAATGTCCTTCATGAAGTTCATCTAACATTTTATATTCTTAAACTCTCAGGAACAATTAGCTTATGATTGAAGAATACTAAGTCTGATATCGACAACTCATCTCTAAGCTTATAACAATTAATAACGGGTAATGGCACTTTCTTTCTAGAAACTGGTCATCCTGTCTGTATAAAATTCATGATAGTTTGCAATTGATCATCTTTTTTTGTCATTTCTCTAAACAGAACATTTTTTGGTTCTGACATTGGCAAGTAATTATGTAGTTGAAGTTTTCTGTTGGCTCGAAATTAGTTAGAAAGGCACGAGATAATGTGTCCGCAATGTACAAATACTTGCCTGGCTTATAAGTGACTATAAGATTATATCTAAGCAGTTCTAATAGCATACGTTGGATTCTGGGTGATAGAGATGGTAAACTTTATGATCTAAATAAACTTTCACATTTTGTACTCCATATATGAATTAGTGAAACTTTTGACAACTAAACAAAATTGCTAATAATTCTTTCTCAATCTGTGTTTATTTGAATTTACTTTTGGTCATACTTCTAAAGGCAAAACTACTGGATGCCCGTTTTGAAGTAAACATGACCCAATACCATATTTTGAAGAATCTGTTTCAATTTCAATGGGCAAAGATGGATCAAAGTATGCAAGGACAGGGGCTTTTGTTAACAAGTGTTCAAATTGTGATAACGATTCCTCGTGATCTCTTACTCAATCTCATTCAACGTCTTGTCCTGTTAAGTTTCGTAGTGGGGCAGTAACTTTGGACATATTTGGGACACATTTTGATAAAAACTTGGCCATACCAAGCAATCCTAATAAATCTGTTTCATTTCTAGGTCTTGGCATATCACTAATGGCATTTACATATGACTGGCATGGAAGACGACAAAACTGGTAGCTGCCAAAGGGTGGACCAAAGGTAGAATACTTAAATGACTGGTCATTAAATATTATCTGAAAATAGCCATCTTTCATGTCTAAAACTGTAAGAAGAGATTTGTTGTTTGTAAGTTTGCTAGCAATTTCGTTGGCTGTCGGAATAAAAAAATGCTCATGTTGCATATCAGGTTTATTCCGGTTCTACGAAATTCTGGTTCTAGGACGTCAGGATCATACGCAGTTGATATAGATCGTTCTGGTTTAATAAGGATAAGTTCGGATTGATGAATCGTCTTTTCTGGTTTCGACTGCGAAATGATCCTAAACTGTCTTGAACCGTCCCGAATCGTTCTTGCTCTAGAGGCTGAACTGTTGAGAACTGTTTCCGTTGCTCATGCGCATTCATGTGGAAATTTGTTTTGGCTATTTTCAAGAATGTTTTTTTATTTATTTGATTCAAATAATTGATGATTAAGGTTAGGTAACATTTGAACTGACTACAAGGATACGCTACATAACAAAATGGACATGTTTAACAGTATTTTCTCGTTTCCATCTCTTCATAAATACGATAGGTGGCACAGTGGTCTCCTCAAAATGCGTTCTGGTTTAACCAAGTGCCGAGTCGAAATTCCTAATTAAGTTTAGTGCTGAACATCCTTTCATCCCTAACAAAGGCATCTGAGTTTCACTATCTACCACCACGAATGATAAATATTCACAAATATCTTTTACACTTCATTTCAAAGAAATTTCTCCCACAGGTCTGATTTTGAAATCGGGGATGCCATATGATATTATTGTAAATTTTGCTTCCATCAACAATGTCATCAATAAAGTTCACTACTTGGTCCACGCCTTTTTGAAAGATGCTAGTTGCTGGGGTAATTCCATGTGGCATCCGATTTACTTTATATAAAACTCGGTTGTGTATTCCATGTTAATATTTATGAGGTATCTTCATCAAGTTCAATCTGATTATAATCACTTCTGAGACCAATTTTTGAAAAATGTTGGCCTTTGCTCAATTTAGAAAAAAATTCATCGATTCTTGGGAAAGGATACTTGAAGTTTTTTAAATATTTATTTACTGTGATTTTGTAACCGCCACAAACTCGCAAAGTTGTATCAGACTTCATTACAATTACTATTGGTGTAGCCCATTCACTAGTTTCAATAGGACTGATAACACCCTCTGTTTCAAGTTATACTAATTCAGAAGTAAGTGCTTCTTTATATGCAAATGGAACATTTCTGTGCTTACAAAATACAGGCTTTGCATCCTCTTTCAATTCTAAAGTTACTCTAGAGTATTTATATTTACCCAACCTATCAGAAAACAAATCAGGAAATGATGTTATTACTTTGTTTACTTCATTATTAATTGATAAAAAATTTATCAAATTGATCCTTACGTTAAAT